AAATTCTAGATATAAGTCCCTTATCTGACATGTCATTACCAAATACTTTTTTCCCAATCTGTGGCTTCCTATTTTACCCTGTTGGAAAAGTTTTTGGATGTGCATAGATACAAATCCATTTTTATGATGGCATTTATAATTGACATTCTCACTTGAGATGTTCTACTGCTACCAATAGACAGTTAGATAGAAACTTTAGAGTAAAAATAAAATGTGTTCCCAAAAATTCTAATGTACTTAAAGTGTTTTCAGTTTCTATACTTATTAGAAAAGTAGAGAGGCAAGCTATTAATTCAAATTAATTTATTAAATTAAAATTCATTATATAATTCAGAAAATGTCATCCTTTTCCAAGGAAATGGAAATATCGTAGATACAATTACACACTAAATAATGTAGTTAATGTTACAGAATTGCATGCTTGAAAAATACTGAAGTAACAAAGTAAGTATTGTATGTCTGTACAAAAAATTATTTGAAAGTCAATTCAAAGAATAGAATTACATCTGAATATTTAAAATACTGAATATTAAACATATTCCTTAGTATGTTTTTATCACAGTCAATAAACGGAAATGGATCAAGAAAATGTGAATTTAAATTAGTAATCAAACAATGGGAGCTCCTATCTTATATAAGAGAAGCTGAAACAATGCATCATGATTATCAAAATTCAAAAATATAAGATTCATCAAATCTCAAAATAGCTCATGATTATTAGTGTGATCACCAAATCCTATGATATCAGAAGATACTTAATGCTAGAAATAATATGCAGATAAAGAAGGAATTAATAGTTTCTTTATAATTAATCAAGGAAAATTTGACCCATGGAGCAGATAGAAATATGAAGTGTACTTGCACCAATTAACTTACCAAGGAAATAAAACATTATTATTTTACTACATTCTCTTGTTTTTTTTTTTATTGATAGTCTCCTTTTTAGTATTTGGTAACTTTAAAAAAAAATAATTTTATTGAATGTTTACAGAGATTTTGGCTTTCATTGTTGCATTTTTCTCCCTCCCCACCCTCCCCTCAGTTCACGCTTCTCTTTGAAAAGTAAAAGAAAAATTATTTCATTGGTATAGAGTCCCCTTTCCCCCCTCCTTGAGTACATTCCACTATGCAACAACCTTCGTTCGGGACTCTTCTCATAACCATAATACCCAATCATATATTGCTTTCAAACAGTTCTCTCCCTCAACTGTTTCAATGCAGTATACATAATTTATCAAATTTTTCTCAGTCTCACGCTAAACCCTGATGTCAGTCCTGTTCTTGGCAACTTTTCTGAATAATAAATTTAATAATATATAGTATGTTGATGTTGTTATGTTCCATTGAGTTTCCTGCATAAATGGTATACTCTGTTTAAATATTCACTCTACTTTTGTTGTTGTTCATAGGGTTTTCAAAGGCCTGTTATTTAAGAAACAGATGGCACATCCTTCTTAGTCTGCCTCAGTCAGGGAGCTCCACCAAAATCTATTTACCATGGGTATCCCTTATGGCTTTTAACACACAGTGCCACCACTTTCAGTATCAAAGCAACCCCAAGTTATCTTAGTATAGCAAACTGACAGATAAGTGCTGTACCACTTAGAACAATATTCTTTCCAAACACAATTAACAACACCCTCCAAGCCATGATTACTTGAACAAGAGGCTTCAAGCTTTTCAGTTGATAACTAAATCAAAGCAACCAATCAGCTTACATTTGATTGTTAACAAAATAAAAAATGTCCCAAACAGTTTGCACACAACTTTCAATGAAATCAAGACAACTTACCCTCCAGAATGCAACTGATGTAAATTGGAGACTTTTAGACAGGTCAAACAACCAGCAGAGCAGGGAAACATTGCATGGTTTAAAAATGAGAAGGGAGTATGTCAGGGTTGTATTCTCTTTATATACCTATTCAATTTGTATGCTGAGTGAATTATCTAAGAAACTGGACTCTATAAAGAGGAGTGTGGCATCAAGATTGGAGAGAGACTCAACAATAGCTTGTGTTATGCAGATGACAGAACTTTGCTTGCTAAAAGTAAGGACTTGAAACATTTGTTGCAGAAGATCAAATTATACAGCCTTCAATATGGATTGCATCTCATGTAAAGAAAACAAAAGATTTTTACCAATGTACCAATAGACAAAATCCTGATGGAGAGAAAATTGAAACTGTCAATAGCTTCATCTTGTTTGACTCCAAAATTGACATCCTTGGTACCAGCAGACAGGAAATAAAAAGATGCATTGCATTGGGAAACTCTGTTAGGGACCTGTTAGGGACCCCTGCAAATTATTGAGGAGAAATTATTTCCGTTTAAGGACTAAGGTGCATCTGATTGAGGCCATGGTCTTTCCAATCACTTGCTGTGCATCTCAAAGTTGGACAATGAAAAAGGATAACAGATAAAGAATTGACACCTTTGAGCTATGGTGTTGGAGAAGAGCACTGAACATCCTACAGATGGACAAAAGAATAAACAGATATGTCTTGGAGAGGTTGCAGCTGGAATTCTTTTTGGAGGCAAGAATGATGAGGCTTCCCCTCACATACTTTGGGCATATTGCCAGAAGGAGCTATTCTGTGGAGAGGGACATGATGCTGAGAAGGATGGAGGGTAAGTGAAGGAGAGGAAGACCCTTAACCATTTGGATTGACATGGTGATTGCTACAATGGACTCTTGTGTGTCAGGAAATGTGAAGATGGCACAGGGTTCAGATCTTTTGTTCATAGGGTCACTATGAGTTGTTCTCAACTTCGCATTGATGTTGTTGTGATGTACCAAGAGTTGGAACTGACCCATAGTTGACACTCTGGAGGCTTTTCAGAGACAGTGAATCACATGAAGGAGATTGTCCGTCCTTCTCCTTTGGAGGAGCTGGTAGCCTTGAACTACATGGCTTCAGGATTGTAGCATACCTTCTGGCCACTATCAAGAACCTGAATGCAGTTCAAGGTCACCAGCTTCTCCACAGGTGAAGGATGGGCAATCTCCTCCTGTGCAATTAACTGCCTCTGAAAACCCACTGGAAGGTCAGCTAGGGGTCAATTCTAACTCTATGGCACACAACACAATACATTTTAAAATACTCACTCTATTACAGTATTGAAAAATATTTTCTCAGCAGAGGGTAGATAGATAAAAATGAAATTATATCAACTGATAAAGAAAAAGAGCTAGATTGAGGAAAATAACTTTATGTATACTTTAAGAATTATTAATATATAGAAACTTACACTGAAATATTTGACAGCACTGTATCTATTATACCTTTACTTGTTTACTATCTTCATATTAAATCACAAACACAAACTTTTGTAGTTTTCTGTTTATTTTTATGTCTTAAAGACGAATGTGATGTTACATATGAATAAAAAATTGATACTATGATTTTTACTTTTGTGTTTTTCAAAATTATAACCACAACTATTTTATTATTATTTTATACTCTCACTCTCCATCTTCCAATTAAAGATCCCTGTATGAGTTTCCTTTTGGAAGCATGATATCCTACTAAAGATGATTCTGAGTTTTGGATGGTCATTTATAATTACTGTAAAGTTTATTGTTGAAAAGCTATTGTTGTTTTCTTATTCTGCTCTGAAAAATTAGGTTTTCTAAAAAGGTTTCTAATCTTTTTAAAGGCATTCAGCCTTAGATTAGTATGAGACTACAGGTGGTCTTCTGATCTCAGCAGTGGCTTTTAAGAAACTGTAACTACAGGATACCAAAAATCACTATATTCAGGCTCCCTTTAGAAAGATTCTTCCACTGAAATTCTCAGTTTCAGGTGCCACATCATCCCTGAAATGCCACCGTGATTTCCAAATAGTTGGACATGGAGAGCAAATGGTAGGTTGATGGTGTGGTTCTCATCATCTTGATCTCAGCTGAGATGTATATGAGCAAACACCAGTTTTTCAGTTCTCAAATGCCCCAAGATTGCTGACTGACACAGACCTGGCTTTTATGGAGCAGATCTAGATGCAGGATTGGTGTGCCCCAATGGCTGGGTTTGGGTAAATGGAGGAGATACTTGACCTCAGAGTTCTAGGCACAGGGAACCAAGGATTCTTGTCCATGTCATGGCTCCTGACAGCCAATGTTCTGCTGTCTCCCCTTCACAATCTACGGTAAAACAGATGTGGTTGTATGCCTGTATGGCAGTTTTATCCAGGTAGAATAGGCTCCTGAGATATCTATTGTTGTTATTGTTGCTGTGCTCCTAGAGGCTAAGGTGAATGGCCTACACCATCATGAGATTGTCATCTCTAAACTGGTGTCATGTTTTGGCTGTATTATCAAAACACTGCTGTACTGCATGCATCACATGCTTTATTGGACAAAAGATGAGTAAAGTCATGGATATGAGAGCAGCGATATCACAGCTGATGACAGAGGCAATCATAGCCACTCTGAAATTCAAGGTCTCATATAAGACAACAGACTTGCAAATAAGTTTCTCTCCAGATTACTCAACCTCATCTCTCTCTAGGCAGAGATAATAAGTCCAAGTCTACTCATCTAGTAAGCCAGAAGGGCACTGTTTACAGGCATGTTCAATTACCATGAAGAATTTGGAAGGTTCCCTGCAAAACTGACTTCACTTAAATGCCGAGGCCTATATGGTTCCTAGAGACGTATGTGAATCACCCCTCACATCGAATCCCCTCTGCAATGTTGCATATGCTTTAGGCATCATCCTGTGCTCCAACCAAATTATTTCATTACAAACTGTCTCTGGACTTTTCTTTGAAGTTCTATAAACTTGTGAATAAAGAGCTTCATCTCATGAAGTCATATACTAGACACGTAATGAGAACAAATGTTCTTCTGATGTCGTCTCTGTATTTCAAAGACAACAGGGAAAGCTTGAAAAAGTGACTGTGCTCCTTTTTGCACAAGACAATTTCAAAGAGAAATTTAGCCACATTTTAAATTAGAATTTCACCTTTCCCTGATTCCTATCTCAACAGGGAGAGAAGAGATGACTAAGGACAACCGATCTTTGACAACAGGATTTATTCTCACAGGATTTATGGATCATCCAGACCTGAAGCCCCTTCTGTTTGTGCTGTTCTTTGCCATTTACCTGGTCACTCTGGTGGGAAATCTGGGTTTGATTGCATTGATTACCATGGAGCGCCGTCTTCACACACCAATGTACTTCTTTCTGGGTAACCTGGCTTTGATGGATTTTTGCTGTTCCAGTGCCATTATCCCTAAGATGTTAGAGAACTTTGTTTCTAAGACAAGAATTCTTTCCCTCTATGAATGCTTGGCACAATTTTATTTTTTCTGCCTTGCTGGAACTGCTGACTGCTTTCTCCTGGCAGCAATGGCCTATGATCGCTACGTGGCCATATGCTATCCACTGCAATACCATACTATGATGTCAAAGCAACTCTGTATTAAAATGACCATAGGAGTCTACATAGGTGGCAATATACAGTCCATGCTTCAGGCAGGACTCATACTAAGGTTAGCGTTCTGTGGACTTCATCCAGTCAACCATCTTTATTGTGATATTGTTCCATTATTTAGACTCTCTTGTGTTGACCCATATATAAATAAACTGATGTTACTTATATTTTCAGGGCTAGTTCAAATTTTAACTATTATCATAGTACTAATCTCTTACCTTTACATCCTTCTCACTATTTTCAAAATGAAATCCAGAGAGGGAAAAGGCAAAGCCTTATCTACGTGTGCATCTCATTTTCTCTCTGTCTCAATATTCTATGGTTCTCTTCTTTTTATGTACATTTTCCCACACTCAGGTAATCAAGATATACAAACTGCTGTTTTTTATACTGTAATAATTCCTTTATTAAATCCTTTTATCTATAGTCTAAGAAATAAGGAAGTGATGAACATTATAAAAAGAATTATAAAGGTAAGAAAACCCCAGAACACTCTAAAACAAATATCATCCCCTGTGGCACACTGATTTTTCATTAGATACATTTTTCCAAAAAGTGAAGAATAAGGAGAAAATGTAAAATTATCACTTTATGTATCAAATATTAATTAAAGTATATTTATTTCTAAGTGTGAGAATGTATAAATGGTTACCTAATTGCAGAAAGGAATAGTTCTACTACAATATATACAATAAACCTAAACTACTAGAGTCTTTTAGGATGATATTGAGTGACTACTCTTAAAATCACATATTGTGTCAAAGTACAATTAGCTACTTATTTAACTCAGCAAAATACTGGGAAGAATAAAAGTAAGTCTATAAAAGTAGCCTCCATTTATTGTTGGCAATTGTATGGAATCCCTAGACTTAATCTTAAAGCCACCACATTTTGAGCCCACAGCGAGTACTTTCCATTGCTTATAGGGAGGAAGAACTGAAATTTCCTTGTGGTTAGGGCCCTCTATTTGAGGATCCTTGCCTCCAGGGCTGTGAGGTCAACTGAGGAGCCAAACAGGACAAGAGCGTTTGAGGGGTACAGGGCTACAAGCACGGAAATTACTTTCTCAGCTTTCTGTGAGAGGGAGTGCTGACTTGAGATTCTCCATCCTCATATACTCCTTGAGTAAGAGGATCTGATCTCACTTGACTCCAGAGAGAAAAGAAGACATTAAACTTCAGGAGAGAAGGTGCATCAAATGAGCACTGCCCCCCGAGAAAGAACATATTCTAGTGTTTATGGGGAGACAAGACTAAAACTTTCTTGGTAATAAGACTTTCTATTTGGAGATTCTTGCCTCTGGTTCTGCAGGGCAGTCCCAAGGGCCAGACAAGACAAGAGAGTTTGGGTTAGAGCTACAAGTAAGGGGAAGACTCTCAGCTTTCTCAACTGGCACATTGAGCTACGAGAAAGAAAGCTGACTTGAAACACCCCTAACAGAAACTGCTCAAGAGAAGCACCTGCTTTCACACCATTCAGCCACTTCATAAAGGAAAAAGGACAATAGAGTTTGGGATAGAGAACTACATTAAGGTGAGATTCCTGCAGGGCTGGAGTGCAGAATAGAGAGAACCTCAGGACTTCAGGGAAAGCAAATATTCCCAGAAAGGGTTTTCAGTAGAGTGAGTGGCTCATCCAATAGAGCATTTTAAGCTGGAAACTAATCAATAACATCATAAAGACAAGAATTACCATAAAATTATAGAGATACAATAGAGTAAGCCTAAATCTTATCAAGAAAAACTTAATGTCATGAAAGAAGCAGGCAGCTTCAAACACTGTGAAAAAAAAATTACGCTTTCTCAAAAAAAAAAAGCAGAGAATATTTCAGACCAAATGAACACCTCAGAGTCAGAATATTGTAGACACAATGAACATCCAGTTTGTCTCTTATGAAATTTATGGTTTTGGGCTTTACTAATAAGTCTGTGATCCTCCTTGAGTTGATTTTTAGTGGTGAGATGTGAATCCTGTTTTAGTTTTCTGCAGGTAGCAATCCAGTTTTGTCAGCACCATTTGTAGAAGAGGTTTTAGTTTCCCTATTTGATAGATTTTCTTTCTTTATCAAATGTAAGTTGACCCAGATAGCTGGGTCTATTTCTGGGTTCTCAATTCTGTTCCATTGTTCATAGTACCAGTAGCATGCTACTCTGGTTAGAAGCGGAAGACCCTCTATGAGGTGAATTGATTCAGTGACTGGAGTAATCGGGATGGGTGTGTCAGAGGCAGTGAGATTGGCACAGGACAGAGCAGGGTTTAGGGCTGTTGTACATAGGGTCGCTATGAGTCACAAGCGGCCCAATGGCACATAACAACAATAACAGTAGGTTTTGAGGTCAGGAAGTGCTATGCCTCCCACTTCATTTTGTTTTTCAAAAGTTCTTTGATTGTTTGGGTTGTCTTTCCTTACTAAATAAACTTGACAATATCCTTTTCAATCTCCTTGAAAACGGAATTTGGTATCTGTATTGAAATTGCATTGAACCTGTAGATTGTTTTTGGTAGGATTGTCATTTTCACAATCTTGAGTCTTTTTATCCCCTGAGAGAGATGGATTTGTACAGTAAATTAGGGTAAAGGGGATAGGTGTATTAGAGTCAGTGATACTGGTTTATTAGAGGGCAGGCTTCAGAGTTGCAGGTGACTTGATGGCACATAATTACAACAAAAATATCTATGAACAGGGCACATTTTTCCATTTCTTTAGGTCTTTTATTATGTCTTACAGAAATGTTCTATAGTTTTCTTTGAATAAATCTTTGTATCTCTAGCTGGGTTCACTCCCAAGAATCCAATTTGTGGTTAGTTATTGTAAATAGTATTTCTTGGTTTTATTCTCTGAATTCTCTTTGGTACTATGGAGGAATCCCACTGATATATAGATAATGAGCTTTTATCCTGCCATTCTACTAAATTGGTCTACTAGTTCTAACAGATTTTTTTGTTGTTGTTGAGTCCTTGGGATTTTCCAATAACCTACAAAAACTTCTAAGTTCACCCAAAAACACCTAAGAAAAGTAGATGGAAGATAGTAAGAAAAAAACAACAACAAAATGACATAGTAAAGTGGTAGTGATCAAACCTGGCCTCCAATAAACATATTTAATGTGAATGGATTAATGCAACAATCAAGAGAAAAAGAGTAGCAGAATAGACAAAAGAAAACAACAAACAACAAAATCCCCCAAACCAAAGTCTATCAATATGTTGTCTACAAGAGACACATCTAAGAAACAAAAAGATAGACTCAAAATCAAAGAGTGGGGGGAAAACATACGAATCACATGACATCCACAAAAAAGCAAGTGTGGCTATATTAATCTCTAATAAAATACACTTCAGAATGAAAACCACCATAAAATATAAAGAAGGGCACTATATAATAAATAAAGCTACAGTAGTTCAAGAAGACATAACGTTGGTCAGTATCTGGGCAGCAAATAATAGACCTGTTAAATACATAAAACAATTATTATATAATACATGAAAGAATTGAAGAAAGAAATAGACAACACCACACTAGAATATTTTAGTACATCATTCTCACCAAAGGATAGCGGTGGGAAGCCAAATATCAAATTTAATATTAATAATAAACCAAATCCTATATCAGGATATGCAGGAGGTATAATACAAGATAGAATTCACCCTGTGGCACTTAGGCATTCCTTAAGACCCAAATTGTTCTTAGTTTGTATTTACTGAATCCCTCCCTCCTGAGATAAGGATAAGGTAAACAATAGAGAGGAAGTTGACCTTACCTGCAAAAGACTTCCTTATTATCCTTTGTTTTTAGTTTCTACTCCCTTGTGCTTTCATAGTTAAGAAAGCTATTGCTAGATCCATCTTGAAGTACAATATTGTGAGTAACAGGATAATATCCATATGCATACAAGGAAGGCCAGTGAATACCACTATCATTCAGATATATGCACCAATAACCAGAGCCAAGGAAGAGGAAATAGAAGATTTTTACAAACTTTTGAGTCGGAGATCAATGGAACATGCAATCAAGATGCATTGATAATAATGGATGACTGGAATGCAAAAGTTGGGAACAGAAAAGAAGATTCAGTAGTTGGAAACCATGGACTCGGTGACAGAAATGGAGCTGGAGAGAGAATGATTGAATTTTGCACAATCAATGATTTATTCATTGCAAATACATTTGTAAGAGACATGTTGTTTTTGTTGTTGTTGTTATGTGCCATCAAGTGGATTGCGACTCATAGCGACCCTATGTACAATAGCTCTAAACCCTGCTCTATCCTGTGTCAATTTCACTGCCTCTGACACACCCATCCCGATTACCCCAGTCCAGTGAATCAATCCACCTCATAGGGGGCCTTCCCCTCCTGCCCTGTCCATCCACCCTTCCAAGCATGATGTCCCTCTCCAAGAACATGTCCCTCATCACAACATGTCCAAAGTATGTCAGATGAAGACCCAGAATCCTTGCCTCCAAGGAGTAGCCGCGTTTAACACTCTCTAGGATGAATCTGTTTGTTGTCTTGGCAGTCCATGGTACATTCAATACTCTTCTCCAGCACCACAGCTCAAAGGCATCAATTCTCTTTCTATCCTCCCTAGTCATCGTCCCACAGGTTATATACATGGATTTCACTTGATGGTAAGCATAGAAATCAGATTGATTATAGCTGTGGAAAAAAAAGTTGGAGAAGCTCAATATCAGCTGTGAAAACTAGGCCAGGAGCTGATTGTGGAACAGACCACCAACTACTTATATGCAAGTTCAAGTTGAAGCTGAGGAAAATGAAACCAAATGCACGGGAACCAAAAATATGACTTTGAGTCTATCCCACCTAAATTTCAGAACCATCTCAGGAACAGGGTTTGAGGCCTTGAACACTAATGAACGAAGATCAGATGATTTGTGGGAGGATATCAAGGTTAACATCCAGGAAGAATGCAGAGAGTCATTGCAAAGATGGAAGAGGAAGAGAAGACCAAAATGGATGTCAGAAGAGACTCAAAATTGCACTGGAGTGCAGAGAAGCCAAAGCATAAGGAAGAATTCAAGATACTAAAGAGTTGAATAGAAGATTTCAAAAGGCAGCACGGAATGACAAAGCAAAATATTACAATGAAATGTGCAAGGAGTTGGAGTCAGAACATCAAAAGGGCTGAACTCGCTCAGCATTTCTTATGCT